GAACGGCCAGACACAGGAACAGTTTCTTCCCTCAGGCAATCCATCTCATGAACACTTGACAATAACTGTGGAACACAACACTATTTATACACTCATACACTTATTTATCTAACACACATATATACCTGTACATACAACTGTCTATTGTTATATACCTGTACATACAACTGTCGATTTGTATATTTTTATTCCTTATTTACTTGTTCTATTTTTTATTTATTTTTATTTTTTATTATCTGTGTTTTTTTTGTTCTGTCACTGTCATTCTGTTACACTGTGGAAGCTTCTGTCACGAAAACAAATTCCTCGTATGTGTGAACATACCTGGCAATAAAGCTCATTCTGATTCTTCTGATTCTACCACTAGTAGTAGTAATAATAATTGCAATAGTCATTTAATTTTTTTTCACATAATTGTTTCATTTAATACGACATTTGACATACATTGCAGTCTGTTTTATTGCCATGACAAAAATGTAAAATTAAATTGAAAACAAAAAACAATATTGCAAATAATCAGGTATTATTAGCAAGTCAATAAAAAATATCAATAATGGAAAATAGCTTTTTAAATATTTAGGTTATTATTCTTATTATTATTCTTATTATTGAGATATTGTAAAAATATTTTATTATTAATTTTAATTTATTATTATTATATTAATTATTTTATTTAATAATATTGTTCATTGAAATAACATTTTAGAGTAAACTAAGAAAGTTCTAACAAGTTTAAACAAAAAATTAATTAAATAAAAAACAATAAAAATATTTAAAATTAATTAAACATACTGAAAGGCCTAATATTAATTGCAGATGAAGAATAACTCCAATGTTGTAAATGAGCCAAAAATGGTTAAATTGAGCTTAAATTTAGTGTTGAAGAGTCATACTACTCACATATGACTACACTCTTTCTCTAGGTGTGGCAGAACTCTAACATACAGTGACTATACTGCTTTGTTTTCCTACTCTATGGCCAACAGTGCATGTATATCTGTGTTTGTTGTTGTTTGTCTTTGTGTTTGTATACGTATGTGCATGTTTATGCGTGTGTAGTGCGATGTGGGATTCAGGTCACAGACAGCCTCCTGCAGTACTGGTCTGGCTTCAGTGTGGTTACAGGTGCTTCACATTACTGCTCGTAAAACTCAGTGAGAGGGAAAAATTACTGCCACTATTTGTTTGGGAAGGAAATAGTAAGCAGGGATCTGGGAGTTCTCTGTATATGGATGGAGTATTGGCATTTTAATTCACGGTCTCTCTATCTCTGTCTGTTGAATGCTTTAGCGATGCATTCCAGAGCAGTGCCCATACTGTTTTTGAATCAGATTTAGGTATCACTCCGAAAGGCAAGAATGTAACTCTGTGTGTGTGTGTGTCAGTGGGTTTTTTATGCCTGCTGGACCCGTGCCATTCTTCCTCAGAGTGAAGGTCACAAGGTCTACGGGTCATGGAGCGGTGAGAGCAAAGAGAGGAAGCAGGCTTAATCTGAAAGAGACTGGCAGTTTCCTGTCTGGAGAGCATGGCACAGAGAGCTCTCTGTCCCATCTGATGGCCCTGCACTCTCCCTGCCTGCTCTCAGAGCGTAATTCAATAAGAACCTGACATCTCCCTCTGACCTCCATGAGTCAAACTCCAACTGCACTCACCAGCCCATGTACCACAAGAACACTGACTCACACCTTCTCATTAGGCCTGCTTACAACAGAGCCACGGAAGCCTATTCATAAATGCAAAACTGGGATGAACCCACTCAGGCCCTGTCCCAAATGGCACACTTCATGTGCATTTGTGGTCTTGCGGACTTAGGGTCCGTAGGGTGTCCCATTCATCATTCTAGCTTTCAGAAGGGTGCTCGCGAGCACCCCCATTGTGGCCGCTATGCACCCTCGATGCGCACTTCTGCCGAGCCTGCACTGGAGCGAGCTCCACAGCAGACTTCTACCCAACAGTCAAAGTGGCATTACGTCACGAAAGTGTGGACTCAGAGGAAGACCTTGAGGGTTTAGGGTCCGATTTGGGACAGGGCCTCAGTCTTTACTCCACAGACATTCATATTGATACCATAAAGAAAGACATTAAAAGAAAAATTTGCTCTGGTACACGGGCCACTTATTTCAAGGCAGTCCAGGTACCATCACTATTTTAGACCCATTCTCTTTGCTCTCTATTTTATTTCGGTCTGTCTCAGTCCTAGTTATTATAGTTTTTCATTTTTTATTTGACTTTTTTTATTTCTATTTTGTTTTCAATTTAGTAAATTTTTCGCTAGTTTTTACAGATCATTGTTAATTTAGTTTTCTAGTTTCAGTTGATTTTAAAGGGGTCATATGATGCAATTTCAAGTTTTCCTTTCTCTTTGGAGTGTTACAAGCTGATTGTGCGTAGATAAGATCCCTGAAGTTGCAAAGACTAAAGTCTCAAAACCAAAGAGATATTCTTTATAAAAGTTAAGACTCTGCCACGCCCCCCTAAAACGGCTCGTTCTAACACGCCCCCACATATCTACCTCACTATGTGGAAATATTTGCATAATGCCGCCCAAATGTGCACGCAAAGAAAGAAGGCGTGGTTTCAGCTATGTATTTTTTTATTTTATGAGTACTTATCTACCTCATGTTTTGATATTTTTGTCATGCCTGTTACAGACACATGCGTTATTATACAATAGTTTTAATCAGAACTATGTTATAGTTTTCAGATATATGAGCAGTATTTTAGTCCCTCTTTTCACTGGGATTGTTTGAAATTTTGGATTTTTTTTTTCAATCTTACATTTGTCATTCAAATTACCAAGAACACACACATTTTGGAGGGTGATCACATGTCAATTAAGAAAAATATATATTTTTACAAGAGAGATATTAAAAGAAGGGATTTGTCAAAAATACAATATAGAGAGGGTTACAATGGAAAAACTTGGAAGGCCATTACAAATATAATTTTTATACTTTTTATGAAATGAATGACAGTAACAGGGATGACAGGATGCATTCTTCAGTATACTCTGTGCATATTTGTTTACGTAATATTGTAAAGTTTTACCTTTTTAAATTGTATTATATTGTTTTGCACTCTTATAGTTGTATTAGTGAAGCACATTACATTTCTAAGTGATCTAAAGCCCGGTTTCACAGACAGGGTTTAGACTAAGTCAGGGCTAGGCCTTAGTTCAATTAGGACATTTAAGTAGCTTTTATAAACGTGCCTTAGAAAAATACATGACTGGTGTGCATCTTGAGACAAAACAATGACACTGACATATTTTAAGATCTGTCAGTGCAAGTTGCTTTCAGTTAAAACAGCTCAGACATGCATTTTAGTCTGGGACTAGCTTAAGCCTTGTCTGTGAAACCGGGAGCTAATGAAATTAGACCCTTGTGTCCATCTGTTTGTCTGTGTATGTCCCCTCACAGAACTTAAAATATATTGATATACTGACAGCAGGGAAATGTTATGAAAGCATAGAACTCAATTGAAACTGTTTGAATATCCATGCTATTAGTGAGATGAAAAGTAGTGAAGTTGTGTTGTTGTTTACATTTTTGTAAAGAGTGAAAAACACTGTAGTGGCAGATACTATGACATACCACGCAAGTGAGTTTGCAAGCTGAGGCATATGGCAGAGAACAGAGAGCATACTGCAAACTAGTCGCCTTTTGGCAAAATTTACCATTTTGGAATCAAAATAGGCTATTGACATGAAGCGAAGGAGTTTTTTTTATTTTGGGGTGGGGAGGGGGGTCGGTGAGTCGGAGAAGCCGCATCACAAAATCTGTCACGCAGGGTTTCCCTATCCCTGGAGACATTCGCCTTTGGATGTTGAACAAGTTCTTAATTCCTTTGCTGTTATCATTTATATTATTAGGCTATCTATATTGTCCTATTGCTCTTTGTTGATTAGACTTAGCCCTAAGTTAGGCTACAACCTTAAATCCTCGCAAATGTTTCACTCTTTCATTCGGTTCGTTGCAGCTCGGCTAAATGCATCTTTCATGGACTTTATTCATTTGCAATTTTAACCCAATTGCACAATAAGCGAAACGCCACTGTTTGAATTGTTGTATAGACTAATTTCAACAAGCTCATATTTGCGATGTTACCAATGCAAAAACTGCAGTTCTTGGTTTGATCCGCTATGGGCAATGTTTGTGCTGCTCCATTAGCATTTTTAAAGATCAGCTTGGCTGAAAAGCATAATGCACAAATGTTTCGTTATGTCTAAGTGAGTATCAACACAAGCAAAATGCCCTCAAGTCCATGGTGCGCTCATGTCATTGCTGAAGTCATTCAATTAAGAAAAATATATATTTTTACAAGAGAGATATTAAAAGAAGGGATTTGTCAAAAATACAATATAGAGAGGTTTACAATGGAAAAACTTGGAAGGCCATTACAAATATAATTTTTATACTTTTTATGAAATGAATGACAGTAACAGGGATGACAGGATGCATTCTTCAGTATACTCTGTGCATATTTGTTTACGTAATATTGTAAAGTTTTACCTTTTTAAATTGTATTATATTGTTTTGCACTCTTATAGTTGTATTAGTGAAGCACATTACATTTCTAAGTGATCTAAAGCCCGGTTTCACAGACAGGGTTTAGACTAAGTCAGGGCTAGGCCTTAGTTCAATTAGGACATTTAAGTAGCTTTTATAAACGTGCCTTAGAAAAATACATGACTGGTGTGCATCTTGAGACAAAACAATGACACTGACATATTTTAAGATCTGTCAGTGCAAGTTGCTTTCAGTTAAAACAGCTCAGACATGCATTTTAGTCTGGGACTAGCTTAAGCCTTGTCTGTGAAACCGGGAGCTAATGAAATTAGACCCTTGTGTCCATCTGTTTGTCTGTGTATGTCCCCTCACAGAACTTAAAATATATTGATATACTGACAGCAGGGAAATGTTATGAAAGCGTAGAACTCAATTGAAACTGTTTGAATATCCATGCTATTAGTGAGATGAAAAGTAGTGAAGTTGTGTTGTTGTTTACATCGCCCATGACTTGGAACCCAATGTTTTCTCTACAGACTTATTCAGAGGTCAGTCCCTGCTTGAATAAGCAATGCCTGGTAAACACTGGGGTCTTGCAAAGCACTGTGCCTTCATGTCCTGTGTTCTCTTCAACAGACACAGAATTGAGAGCAGAGTGTCTTGTCATCCAGTCCCACACCAGACAGCCCTGAGCATGAGGTTAGTTTGAATTCAGCTGTTTATTACGGGATGTATGAATGTTTAGTTTCGTAAATGTAGTTTCGTAAGGGACATATTTATCAGTTAATTACAATTATACTGCAGGTACAGTCTGAAAATCTTTGTCAGTACAGATAGTCATCATTTAACATTGTGTTCCCGTCTACATCATTTTGAGTGTCATAATCTTAAAGGTTTGAGTGAGGGTGTCCCTCTTAGGTGAAATGGACACTGTACCAGTTGATGCCTGTTCATCTTTGCATATTGCTGTTCTTTTTTTAGGTGCATTGTGTCAGAGGTCAATGTGGCACTTCTTCTGAGAAAGAGGGCATTGGAGAAGTTGGTGTCCAGCACCAGGAGGTGTCACCCCCTGTGTTCTCAACAGACCTTACCAGTGGTCAGTTAAAGTTTTGAGTAAAAGTTGTTAACTTCTGGCAATGCATGGCATGCCTGAAGGTTTGCAGAATGAAAAAAACATGTCAATATCAGGCCATTTTTAGATGATTATTTTGTGTCTTCATGGATATTTTGAGTAGAATTTTGTCTGTCAGGGATGTGAGTTGAGTATGGTATGCCTATATGTGGTTTTATGACTTGAGGAAAGCCAAGCACTGAATCTCCCTGTGTTCCCTTGTACAGAGACCGAATCGAGATCAGCGTGTCAATCATCCAGAGCCGCGCCAAACGACTCTGCTTGTGAGGTGAGTTTGAATTTACCTTTGTTTTTAAATTCACCAATAGTTAGAAGTACTGTGATGTTCCATGGAACACAATTTTCAGTGTTATAGTAAACATCTTGCAGCTGCGGTGGAAATGTCCTCTATTCAGTATGGATGGTCTTATCTAACCACAGTGTCCCCCCCAACACTGGTGTTTTTCTGAGTGTGCCACACACTGGGAGTTCAACAGTGGAAGACTCAGGGTTTGAGCATGGATGTCATTACAAGTCCAAAGGACAGTGTCCTTGCATACCTTGAGTTTGTTTGTGTCACACACACACGTGCATAGATCTTTACCTTTTTTTCACAAAATTACTTTAGTTTCTTAGAATTGTTTTTACTTTTGCTTTACTTAAATAGATTAGGGTTAATCAACCTATTTCCTTGCAGTTAGAGGTTATGTAGTGCTGTGGCTAGGAAGAAGAGAATAATCAGTTTACCCTGGACCTGGGAGTTTAACTTTTAGTGTTAAGCAAAGCCTATGATTGGTAGAGATCCCTGTTGCCTTTTTTTTTTTTTTTTTTCGTATAATAGAAGTTAAGCAGGGTAAATCTAAATTTGGCTTTGGACACAGGTTCAGAAACTAGATGTGTTGTGTTTTTAAATGCCAGATGAAGGTTTACTTCATTATTTAGAGGAATTGTCTTTTTTGCCATCGTCATAAGAGTTCCAAGTAGAAGCATATCTTTCTCTTGTGTGTGTGATGAGTGACGCCCCAACAGTTAGCCAATCTTAACATAAGTCACAGGAATTGAATAGATATGCTTCGCTATTATATCTCAAAAGTAACTTCTTTCCCCCTTTTCATCTCTCCTGAAGGATTTGTAGAAAAGGTTGTGTGAAAGTAAAACAGCCAAATGTTTTTTTTTTTTTAATTCATGATATAATTTGTGTGTGTAAATGTGTTTTATTTATTTCATGTTTAGAATTTTTTTTTCACAGTGTACAATCCATAAGCTGGTTTTTGAATTGGTGAGAATTGACAAATGCTGGATATGCCATTCACCTTTGACATCTATCAGATGGCACGGTGTAAGATGCAAACATAAGTGTGTTATTCATCTTCTTTTAATTAATGCATTTCTCCGTATACCATAAGTAGTTTAATTTCATGCCTTGGGTCAGTTCCAGACTCACACTTATAAAGCATAAAAACATGTTGCTTGAATGTTTTATCAGTTCAAACCATTGCGGTGAAAAACACTGTAGTGGCAGATACTATGACATACCACGCAATTGAGTTTGCAAGCTGAGGCATATGGCAGAGAACAGAGAGCATACTGCAAACTAGTCGCCTTTTGGCAAAATTTACCATTTTGGAATCAAAATAGGCTATTGACATGAAGCGAAGGAGTTTTTTTTATTTTGGGGTGGGGAGGGGGGTCGGTGAGTCGGAGAAGCTGCATCACAAAATCTGTCACGCAGGGTTTCCCTATCCCTGGAGACATTCGCCTTTGGATGTTGAACAAGTTCTTAATTCCTTTGCTGTTATCATTTATATTATTAGGCTATCTATATTGTCCTATTGCTCTTTGTTGATTAGACTTAGCCCTAAGTTAGGCTACAACCTTAAATCCTCACAAATGTTTCGCTCTTTCATTCGGTTCGCTGCAGCTCGGCTAAATGCATCTTTCATGGACTTTATTCATTTGCAATTTTAACCCAATTGCACAATAAGCGAAACGCCACTGTTTGAATTGTTGTATAGACTAATTTCAACAAGCTCATATTTGCGACGTTACCAATGCAAAAACTGCAGTTCTTGGTTTGATCCGCTATGGGCAATGTTTGTGCTGCTCCATTAGCATTTTTAAAGATCAGCTTGGCTGAAAAGCATAATGCACAAATGTTTCGTTATGTCTAAGTGAGTATCAACACAAGCAAAATGCCCTCAAGTCCATGGTGCGCTCATGTCATTGCTGAAGTCATTCTGTAATTACGCATACGCTCACAAACTTGGAAGATGTTAAATCGTTCGAGCAAACATTGCATCAAACTTGCAAATTTCTTAGAATGTCTATGTACTCAAAGTATCTGTCCAATAAGTGTCTGTCCAATAAGCATTTCCAAGTGGGGGGTTTTTTTTCTAACTTTTTTTTACTTCGTGCCTTCCAATAAGTCACTGGGCCTATCTTTACGCATCTGAGTTGATAATAGATCGAGTGGACTTCGAATTTAGTTTGGCTAATTGAGATGATATATATACTGTATATAAAAGTCATGATGAACAAAAACTTTAGGCCTAATAAATCCAGACCTAATTCAATAGATCCACCAAGCAATTGGCAATCCAAATGCTTGAAGGTGTCTCCACACCTTTCCAATTACTTTTTGGAAGAATTCCTTTTATTCTCACAAGCCTTATTAATTAATGTAGGATAAACATTTCAGCATTTCTGTTCCACATTAGACCATTCTGTGGACTTTATTCATTTGCAATTTTAACCCAATTGCACAATAAGCGAAACGCCACTGTTTGAATTGTTGTATAGACTAATTTCAACAAGCTCATATTTGCGATGTTACCAATGCAAAAACTGCAGTTCTTGGTTTGATCCGCTATGGGCAATGTTTGTGCTGCTCCATTAGCATTTTTAAAGATTAGCTTGGCTGAAAAGCATAATGCACAAATGTTTCGTTATGTCTAAGTGAGTATCAACACAAGCAAAATGCCCTCAAGTCCATGGTGCGCTCATGTCATTGCTGAAGTCATTCTGTAATTACGCATACGCTCACAAACTTGGAAGATGTTAAATCGTTCGAGCAAACATTGCATCAAACTTGCAAATTTCTTAGAATGTCTATGTACTCAAAGTATCTGTCCAATAAGTGTCTGTCCAATAAGCATTTCCAAGTGGGGGGGTTTTTTTCTAACTTTTTTTTACTTCGTGCCTTCCAATAAGTCACTGGGCCTATCTTTACGCATTTGAGTTGATAATAGATCGAGTGGACTTCGAATTTAGTTTGGCTAATTGAGATGATATATATACTGTATATAAAAGTCATGATGAACAAAAACTTTAGGCCTAATAAATCCAGACCTAATTCAATAGATCCACCAAGCAATTGGCAATCCAAATGCTTGAAGGTGTCTCCACACCTTTCCAATTACTTTTTGGAAGAATTCCTTTTATTCTCACAAGCCTTATTAATTAATGTAGGATAAACATTTCAGCATTTCTGTTCCACATTAGACCATTCTGCCAGAAGTCTTTGGGCCAAGGATGCATTCTGAAACATAGCCTATATGGCCTCACACCTCTACACATTAAAAAAAGAATGTGTTTGGTCAGGTCAGGCTACTAATGTGTCTGTTTTTGCAGTAACTGTTTTATAATCAGAATCTCAAATCTCTTGATTGTTAGGACGATGCCATATATCATATTTGTAAGTTTAAATCTGTTTGTATCTGTCTGGAAATCCCATCAGAATGCACCATTTGAACAGTAATTTTTCAAAAAATTCTGCTTTTCGTTCTGAACTCACTTTATGTTTTCAGTTCATTTTATGCTTATGTTTAGTGGAGTTAGTGAATTTAATGTGTGATGTGTGGGATCACTTCATACTTTTTTTAACTTTGACTTTGAATGGGTAATGTAAATGCTGTGCCACTCCAGTGAATTCTACCTTAATGGTCGAAACCTGTGTACATTTGTCTAAATGGAAAATGTTAGCCATCACTCAAACTGTGCATTTGCACTGAACCGGTGCATTTCTTGATTTTGTATGTTTCATAAGTGTGAAGCTGTTTGCATTTAATAAGAAAATGAGTATGTAATTGGTCAGCATGGGAAACTGATCAATTGTTGTCTAACGCTGTGGTTTGCTTAATTTTGTCTGTGAAGAATGCTGTGGTGTGTGGCATAAAATCTGCCTCCAGAAATCCTCAGAAGACTGGGATATATCAGATGTAAGTGTACATTGAAGTATAATATGCTTAATATCAATATGATGGCTCTTAGCAGTTTGTTTTTGACATCCATCCTTCCCATGTGTATTTCTGTTACTTAAAGTATGCTGTATTTAATTTAATTAGTTAATTTAATGTACTTTACAGGATGACGTCTCATCTGATGACGAGTACATCCCAGAGTCTGTATCGGATTCAGAAAGCTCAGGGACAGAGTTGACTGTTGAGTTGCCTGAACCATCCAAAAAGTCCCATACCACTAGTATGCCTGATTTAGGCGTTACTTTTGCTAAACAAGAACAGACCATAGATATACAAGACAACTGTAAGAATTTCCTGATGGATCTAGAAACTACTGGTGATCTCCAAAGTGACCCCGAACCAGAACCAGAAAGCTCAGAGTCATACCAGCAGAAAACAAAAGATGCGAGTAACGAAAAGGGTACTGTGGATATTCTTGGCCAAAGTAAATCCCCAACCAAATCAGCAAAATTCCTTAAAAGCCAAGTTAATTATTGTTTTGTATGTGGAAAACCTCAAACAAAATTTGCACGTCATCTCGAGAGGCATGTAAATGAAAATGCTGAAATCGCACAGGCACTCCAGTTCCCCAAATCATCAAAGGACAGAAAGGTTCTTCTTGAGAAATTCCGAAACCTTGGCAACTTCAAGCACAACTCAATTGTTAAAACCACAGGATCAGGCTGTCTTAAAGTGAAAAGGAGTTCCAAACAGAGCAGCAGCCCTGAGACGTATGATTACTGCTTGTACTGTAAGGGTATGTTATCCAGAAAATAACTTTCTCGACATATGAAAAGATGTGCTCTCAGACCAGAGAATAATGTTGAAGAGGGGCCTGAGTTGAGAGAGAGAGTCTTTGGTATAGCATCTGCTCAATCCACAATGTCCCAGCCAATTTCAAGTGAACTTTGGTCAGTGCTGGGCAAAATGCACAAGGATAACGTGTCCACTGCAATAAGGAATGATCATTATCTCATGCAGTTTGCCCTGTCCCTCTTTAATAAGCATGGGAGTGACAGATCAAAGCATGAGTATATAAGACAGAAAGTAAGGGAACTTGGGAGATTACTTGTGACTTTGCGCCACACAACAAGAATCCATAACATGGAAGAGGCAATAAAACCAGGCAACAACTTTATTCTTACTAGTGCTGTCAGAGTTTCAGGTTTTGATCACGAAAACAGCACATTCAAAGCCCCAAGTTTGGCCCTGAAAATTGGGCATTCTCTCAGAAAGATAAGTGACCTCATTATGTGTCGTGTTCTCATGGAAGAGGACCAAGAGGTGATCGATTCCATCAGGAGGTTTCATACACTTCATGAAACAAAGTGGTCTGAATTAGTTTCCCATTCTGCCTTATCAAACCTGAGTGAGGCAAAATACAACAAGAGCACCAGGCTTCCACTGGCCAAAGACGTTCAGAAGCTACAGTTATATCTTGGTCAGCAAGTGGAATTGACTAAGGAGAAACTAGCCGATGACCCAACAGCAGGCACTTATGCAGCACTAGCAAAGGTGACCCTCTGTCGAGTCATTTTGTTTAATAGGAGGAGGGAAGGTGAAGTGGCACGGATGACTGTAAAAAATTTTGAAGATCGTGACATGTCCCAACTAAACGATGACATAAGCACTGGGCTTACAGAAGTTGAGAAGAGACTTTGCAAACAATTCGCCAGAGTGGAACTGAGGGGGAAAAAAGGACGAAAGGTTGCTGTGATCCTGACTTCTGATATGACTGCTAACCTGTCACTCCTCATTAGTAAGAGGAAAGAGTATGGAGTAACTGAAAACAACAATTACCTCTTCGCTATTCCTTGTAGTGATGGTCACTACAGAGGGCAGTTTGGTCAATTTGCAGATGCTTGTGGAGCCGAAGATCCTCAAAACCTCAGATCAACTAACCTTCGCAAACAGATTGCCACAATAAGCCAAGTCATGAACTTGAAAAATAATGAACTGGGCCAGCTGGCCGATTTTCTCGGCCATGACATTAGGGTGCATAGGGAGTACTATCGACTGCCCCAATCAACAATTCAGCTGGCTAAGATCTCAAAGCTGCTTATGGCTATGGAGAAGGGAAGTGTGAAGGATATTCAAGGAAAATCTCTGGACGAAATTGGTGGTATGCATCATTTACATGTTGTTAAATCTACTTGGTGTATGTGTATATGCTTGGTGTAATAACATTTAATAACATTTTTACAATGTAATTTAATAGATGACATAGACGATATGGATACCGGATCACAGCAACTCCCTAATGTTTCCACATTGCAAGGTACTGTTAAAATTGGCTCCCAAGGCTACTGAAATTGTTGTATTCTGTGTTGCGGATTTTGCCGTTGTATTGGTGAAATATTTAAAATAGGCTTTTTTATACATTTAGGTAACAGCCTACTGTTATTTCAAACATGTATGAACTTTTTATTGCCTACCCTCCTTGCTGTGTAGTTGATACCATTGGGGTTTTTTTGTCTTGTTTTGTTTTTAGACAATGAAGAAATGTTGGCTTCTGTGACTTTTGGATCGCCTCACCTCTCCGAGACTGCAGCTCAAGGTATAATCTCAGTGATGGACCCAAAGTTTGCATCTCATGTAATGAGCTGGGATCTGTGGGTTCATTAGAGTATATTAAAAATGTTTTAGTCAGGAATTTTCCAGTAGTACATTGGTTAGAAACTTTGTTAGAAGCTTAACTTTTTGTCATCTCTCTTCATTGTGACTAGGGATGGAACGGTATGAAAATTTCATATCACGATTATAGTGACCCAAATTATCACGATTATCAATATTATCACAGTTTTGTTCAAATGAGATGAAAGTGTTCAAAAAGAACAGATGCACACACTGAAAACATTTCAACAAGTTTTATATTTCAAAATCAACGAACAACAAATAAATCAAGCAGCTCTATGCACTTTTTTTTTAAGCAAGATTCTATTCTGTGGCATTTCCTTCCTTATAATGACCGTCGTCAATAGTCAAGTCAAGTCACCTTTATTTATATAGCACTTTTTACAATGCAGATTGTGTCAAAGCATCTTTACAGTGATAACTGGTGAATAATTTTGTCCAGCTTAAGTAAATTCAGTATTGATTCGTTCGGTTGTAAAAAATCAATAATTATTTTATTTATCTATATATCAGCACTGTAAAAATAAAAACAGTGATGTCATTGTCCAGCACAGTTCTGTTCACATACAATGGTGTCAATGCAGGCAGATAAAAACATTGTTGAATATCCAGTGAAATGCGCAATAACGTATCACAACGGACACGCTCTCTCGTTTCATTAATGCCACTTGCGTCTCTGTTTTTCATTGTATTGAAAATGAAATCAGACTTTACTATTAATACTACTATAATTATTACTATAACTTGTTGTGATCATCTTGTCTGGACGATTGTTTTGTACACTGTACAAAATGGATTTATAAGCAGGTTAGATTTAAAACATTAATCTCAATTCAATATGTCCCCGTAATTATTTATGTGGTAAAAAAATCTGTGTAATAAGTGCACAATGAATATTATTATCCCTTAAATGTCACCCTAGTCTTGTCTGAACTTGTTAGTTCGTCTTTGGCTTAAAGCCACTTTTCTTCGTGGAAGCTTCACGTTATTATTTCCCAGATGTAGTTTTAGTATTGAGGTCAAAGTCCACTTGCCTTGCGTTTGCAGATTTGAAGTGTTTGCCCCTATAGCAGCGACTTTCTTCTTGCATGTTCTGCAGACAGGGTGATCATACTCTATTAAGTTTCCCTCAGGACTTTTGTAAAAGCCAAAATGTGACCACACCTCAGATTTGGTCCTTTTAGAAGACTGAAATCTCCTGGCGCTGTCACTGCCTTCTGCCATTTCTTCTCATTCAAAAAACAACGTTGCGCGCTGCGTCTGCATCAGACTGATGCTGGCTGGGTAGAATTTACTGCAAGTTTTCAAAATCATGATAATCAAACACTGTTTTAATGATAATTAAATTTTAAACGATATTACTAATCTTCAGTACATTTTACCGTGGTTTATCGTGAAACCGGTAATTGTTCCATCCCTAATTGTGACGCATATGCTTTGTGGCTAGTATTTTGATGTGTTCAGTAGTTTGCATGATCATATTAAAACAACAGAGAAGACTTGGCCTGTTTAAAATCTACATCATTTCCTAGTAAAATTATCACTCAAGGTATTGTTGCACATATTCACGTTCTCCTGACTTCATCCGGTTCAACAACTTTGCCGTGAGTATAGTTATTATAATAGAATTGGCTGTCTGCAGTTTTGCATGTATCCCCTCCATGCCCATGGTGTTTGATTGGTAGGCAGACAGGCTCTTTAAGCCCATACATTTATACTGTGCAATATTTTTTTTTAGATGACCAGGGGAACGCTGCCTGTGTAACTTCTGGTTCACCTCATCTCCCTGACTCGGTTACTCAAGGTATTATTTAAATGCGGTGCCATGTCCATCACTAGGCACACTTGCTAATGTGCAGTCAACACTTACATTATGTTTGGTTAGACATATAAAGCATATAAAGAAGCTGGATGTATTTTGTTTTTAACAAGCAGTGTAATGAAATGTAATGTTAATGAAAACAATCAAACTTGATTTTTAGCAGATCTAAAGTCAATTTATTATCACACATTTTGTCTACACATTTTGTTCCAGCTTGTTTGGCCGCAACATCCCTACCTGCAAGTACATCTCGCAGGATCTTTTATATTTTTTTAATCTTCTAATCTTTTTTTTTTTAATTGTTCAGGTTTCCATGTTTCATCAAGGCGTATAGTGTGAAGAGACCATGGTCTGTGGAGGAGATACAAGCTGTGATGAAACATATGAGGCCTTTTTATTGAAAACGGTGTCACTGTCACCAGTGAGCAGTGCCTGAAGTGCAAGGAAAAGGAACAACCTATCTTGGAGACAAGATCCATTCAAAACATTAGAGATTTTGTATGCAACAGCGGCTTGGCCTTTAAAAGGCATTCAAATGCTAAACACTAAATGCACTTTTGAACAGCCTGAGCCTTTACCTTTCTAGGCATGTTTTAAAAGTTGGTGTCCTGTGTTCAGAAATGGTTTAGGTAACTTCATTTATTTTGCTCACAGGCAGTGTTTTGTTTTGTTTGTTTTGCTATGTGGTTAGCCTGGGCCTTTTAATGTCAGGATTCACTTTTATTTTCCTTTATTAATTTTTTACAGTGTTGTTCTTTAAGGAATTGATTCTTGAGGTGACTAAATCAAATATAGTTCAGTGATTCAACAAATGTTGTGTTGTGTGTTAACAATAACAAACCTAGATTATTATTTTCAAAATTTTTAGCTTAAATGCAGATGAGTTAAGTTTAGTAGTCAAACATAATGAAATCAACTAATGAGCTAAATGTACTTGGTGAGACCTCAGCAAGTTGCGATCCTATTCGCAATCTCCACAAAACAACAAAAGAGCAAGCATAAATCAAGCGTATAGTATCAGTTCTGGCAGGTAACGTTAGTCAAGCTTGCATCAGCTGACTGTCAGCTGATCACGTCTACCTATAGGAATACGACGTCTATCACAGCATACATATATATAGCTCCTCAGTATTATCAGCTGCTATCGCGTTCTCCAGAGCTCATTTACCCTCCTCCATCCCCAGCTCCTCCTCTTGTACAGTCAGGATTTGGTATTCTAATTCCCCTTGAATCAGACTAAATTCCTGAATTATTTTGTACATTTAATACCAACATTAATGATATCTGCAATACATTATGTTGGTTCTGTTCTGTTTACCCTTAGAGGGGTTATTGCTGCTCTCCCTGCTCTTATCCATGCTAGGCTGCATGGATGCACAGTGAGTTCTTGCCCACAACAGAACCATACCGCCAATCCAAACTATATGCTAATAGTCAATCAATCATCTTTGACGATAGTGGTCCTGACAGAATTATAATAATGTGATTAGGTTGTCTGAGAGAACTGAGGTTGTTTCATTGTATTGAGACTATAAACCTACGCTCTACAAACAGGACTGGTTGAAGGGGAGTGGGTGAGTGCATTTTCTTTTAAAACTTTGACAATGTCAATCAAGACATTAAAGCATGGAGGCCTTCAAGTTACTTATTAGGCTATTTAGGCTTCGTTCTCCTTTATATGTTACTGCTTTTTATGTTCTTGTTGCATTCTATAAACCCTTACTATTAAAATTGCTAGTAAAGCCGATGAACTCTGATAGAGATCCTTTTTAAATAGGTTTTAACATATACCCTCACTTTATGTAATTTGTGACAATATCCCAAAGTAGATAAACATGTTTTTGAAGAGTGGGTTGGTAAGGAGCAAGTGGAGTTAGTTATATTTGGAGAAATGAGATTCCTTTATGCATGTTGTTGATGTTAAAAATCCAGGTCACTTCTAAAGGTAGATTTTATGGGCTATGGACCAGTAAAATGTATCGTGTTTGATCAGAAAGTGAGAGAAGTGATTAAACTTCTTTCTCTGTAATGCTTTTATTGTTAAACATTTTGACCAGTGATAATGTTCAATCAATTGGAACAACAGAGTTACTCTGAAAAGGCTCTTTTCTCAGGTCATGTATGATCCGGTGCAGTGGGCAATGGCAGACCCTGGACACGCAGATCGCAGTGTGGTTGTGAAACATGATTGCAGGTTGGCAGTTGGTTCAGGACATGGAAAAACTCCATAATACATGTGCTGGTGGGGTTGAGTTCGTCCTAGTGGATGCAAGCAATGTTTTTGTGTTATGCTCCTAGTTGTTTTAATGACACTTGGCCCACCTGTTAGTAGATCCCATCAGATAAGAGCTGTGGTGTTTTCTGTAAACTTTTGTAGCTTGACAGAATTTGATTGGAGGTGCTGATGTTTTCTAGAGGAAGAAGTGTAGAATGGAGTGATTGTCCTCCTTATGTACATTTATCTGCAAAGTATGTCCCGATGTGATGAGTTATTTACAACTTACGTGCCAAATTCTAATGCACAACAGAGGTCAACAGAGAAAACAAAAATGACCTCTTAATATATTCCATATTATTATAATGGTGTGCCTCAGTCACTTTGGTCTTATGATCCATGTGTCCTTTCAAAGCAGGTTATGCTCGGTGTATGTGTATGGTGAACTGGCCTTACACACCATGTGTCCTTTCAAAGCAGGTTATGCTCGGTGTATGTGTATGGTGAACTGGCCTTACACACCATGTGTCCTTTCAAAGCGGGTTATGCTCGGTGTATGTGTATGGTGAACTGGCCTTTCAAAGCAGGTTATGCTCGGTGTATGTGTATGGTGAACTGGCCTTACACACCATGTGTCCTTTCAAAGCAGGTTATACTTAGTGTATATGTATGATGACATCACTGACCTTGTACACCACACTGTCCTTATAGACCGTGTTACAGAAAAGTCTTTACAAACCACCAGAAAGTCTGAAAAAGAGCCTTTTTTTATATCTCAGTTGTGCAAAGAAAATCTTTTAATTTTAAGTTTTTTATGGTTTTTTGTAGCCCTAGCACCACTGGAACCCGGTGTCCCCACAGCCCTATGCCCAGTCTAATTTGCGAAAAATGTAAAAAATTGTCCCTCTAGCCCGACAAACGGGTGTGTGTGTGTGAGAGAGAGAGAGAGAGAGAGAGAGAGAGAGAGAGAGACGGGGTCATATCACAGTGGAGTCAGCTGTCTTAACCATGGCTTGTGTACTGCAAACACATACCAGCTTCATCACTGTGTCTGTCATGCGACTCTGTTCCCCTTTCAGGCTCTGTCTTTACATTTATTTTGAAAGATGAAGCTCGCAATTATGGTAAGGGGCGTTACATTTCCGACAAGTGCTTGCGGTGTTCGGCCAATCACAATGCACTGGGTCAGCTGGCCAATCAGAGCAGACTGCGCTTGTCAGAAGGAGGGACTTTGTAGAAAACGAAGCGTTTGAGAGAGGCGGGGCATAGAGGACCTACAATAATGTACAGTATTTGAAAAATAATGTGTTTTTTGAACATTAAAGCATGTCAACATATTCTATGTTTTTTTGTAGCCCTAGCACCACTGGAACCCGGTGTCCCCACAGCCCTATGCCCAGTCTAATTTGCGAAAAATTTAAAAAATTGTCCCTCTAGCCCGACAAACGGGTGTGTGTGTGTTAGAGAGAGAGAGAGAGAAAGAGAGAGAGAGAGACGGGGTCATATCACAGTGGAGTCAGCTGTCTTAACCATGGCTTGTGTACTGCAAACACATACCAGCTTCATCACTGTGTCTGTCATGCGACTCTGTTCCCCTTTCAGGCTCTGTCTTTACATTTATTTTGAAAGATGAAGCTCGCAATTATGGTAAGGGGCGTTACATTTCCGACAAGTGCTTGCGGTGTTCGGCCAATCACAATGCACTGGGTCAGCTGGCCAATCAGAGCAGACTGCGCTTGTCAGAAGGAGGGACTTTGTAGAAAACGAAGCGTTTGAGAGAGGCGGGGCATAGAGGACCTACAATAATGTACAGTATTTGAAAAATAATGTGTTTTTTGAACATTAAAGCATGTCAACATATTCTGTTACACCAAATGCACAAAATAATGATCTTTAAAAAAGCATCATATGACCCCTTTAATTTTTTAGTAGTGCTGCCTAAGTTAATTCACTACTTAATGTAATTTAAAAATGTTTAATAGCTTTCAATTGTATGGCATTGTAATGCAGGTGTGGTGTTTTCAATTTAGTTTATTTTACAGTCGCTTTCACTGTATTATTGCTAGTTTTAGTTTTTTTTCAGAGTTTTGTAGTTTCAGGTTTTCTTAACTTTTATTTTAGTTATGTCTGCTGAAAACAGGTATTACATTAGTCACGTGCTCTTCCTCACTGCTTCAACACAGATTTCGGCTGTAAATAGGTTCTTTGTTTTCCTGACTTCACTGCACTGATTGCCCTGTGTGTATATTTCAAAGCGCTGATCAGATCCAATCCACAGTCAGTACCAGCACAGCTAGGGCAGCAGGACTCTTAGCAGCTGATAACACATCTCTCTCTGTTACCCCTGACCCGCACAGCTGCTTTAGAGCTTTAGTGGTGTGGCACACAAGTCCGGCTCTCTGTAACATTATGAGATCAGAGTGGTTTACTGTTACACTCACATCACATAAAACAGGAGAAACACGACGGTCAGCCAGCCATTGTTTAGTTTGACCCGTGTTGATGATCAGTGTGGTAATCTGCTGGCAGAATAGAGGAAAGCTGGCAGAGCCATATAAAAGGCCAGAGACTGTGCATAAACACACAAACTTAGTCATCTCTGGCTTCTCCTATCTCATTAACAGTGGTTTTTGGAGGTCCACAGCTCTCAGGTTGTTTATGGGGTTTATACAGAGGGCAGGATTTGATGAAGCAGCACTAAATGCATAAATCAAGCATATTATAAATCTTGGATAAAGTGTAGTCAATCTGAGCGCCAACACTTAGCTATAATTTGGGGATACATTTTTCCCAAGAAGCTAGATCTTTAAAATCTACCTTATTAAAAATATATATAAAGAAAATAAGTAAAATAAATATATTTTTATTCTAAAAATATCAAAAGTTTTCTTTTATAGAAATAGTGTACTCAATAGTAATTGAGTAATTATAGATGACTATATTTTGTTTTCTTTTAAATACCTAAGTAATTGTCTGATTGTGTGTAGATGTCTGCAGGTTTGATGTGCCTGCTGCAGGTGGCTGGTGAACTGAGCCGTGATCAACGCAAGGTTTCTTAGATGCCCATGTGGACAGGAGGAGCCGCTGCTGGACTGGAAAGTAAGCGTGCTGTGGCCACAGTCCC